CTGCATTGAAAGGGAGGATAATCAGAATTAAGATGCCACAAATGCTGCAGTGTGATGTGTTTTTATTCAGTGATTTAGGAAGCCAAATTTTCTTCCAAGATATTTCATGAAATACAGAGTGGTGGGTCAGGTGTAATAGCAAACAAATCACCCACTGTATCTTCTGAGCACTGGGGATTGATTTCAATATATAAATATAAATCCAAGAGATGAAGGATGCTTACACAAGTGCAAAGTCTAATCATATCTGTTTTTATCTAGATATTAAACCAAAGCATTTTGCACTTATTTCACCAGATGTGTTGCCTACATGGACAATGGAAATGATAATAATCTTAATCAGGGTGGGAAGCACAAGACAGGCTTGGAATAAGTGAAAAAAATACATTACAGGATAAAATAAAACATAGTGGCTAGAATCCTGTTTAACACTGGCAGAACAGAAAGCTTCACTGGCACAGTAAAATGCTTGTGCAAGGGCTGACCCTATGCAAACAGAGTACCAATTGCAAATGACTCGCTGAGGCTTCTGCTGGGAGGTCCTGGATACTGTTATGATGCACCATCTGTAAAAGTCAAACTGCTTGCAATACGGTCACTGTCTGAACAGGATCTTGGCAAGCAGATTCTTAATAATATCACTTAGTTAACAATCTTCTCAGATCTAAACTATTGTGACCTGAAATGCAGGCAACACAAATACACATGCAGATTTGCTCAATCTCATACAGATTTGTTTTTGCATTCATTCTCCTACCCAAATGCAAGCATGAACATCCATTTAATAATTTTCATCATACAAATTATATACAATCATAAAAACAAAAGAGAAGGTGTACAAATGAATGTGCAGAGTATCTGTGTCATGAGCATATGCATGTAAATATACCTTCAATAAATGCATGCATCATACTTTCATATGGACTTTCACCTGCACTCACCCAAAAGTACACATTCACGTACACACTCTCTCATTCACACAATTTCTTTACCTTTGCAGAACAAAACTACCTTACTAGCACTCACTCAATGTTATGTGTTGTAAGCCGCCTAGAGTGGTCGCAATGACCAAATAGGCGGGACATAAACAAACAAACAAACAAACAAACAAACAAACAAACAAAAAGCAATTAAACACAAAGAAAAATGCCAGGTAGTTTCTTGCATGTATCCAGACTCCTTGTCCATTACATGTACTCTTGAGTGTACATGAGTGTGAGCACAGGCTGTTCTGCAGATCATTACTTAAACAGCACACATTATCCAGCACTTACACATGTATCTACACTTATCTCTGTGTCTTTGTGTACATACCTTACAAGCTCATGCACGTACCCAGGCTATGACCCTTAACACTGTACAAATTTCATTTGTGAGTTAGTGGGCTATGTCTCATTAAAACAATGACATGATACTTAGCTGTGATTAACAGAAGATCCTTCAATGAAAGTTGGCCATAATTAATGTTCTTTTCCAGACTAAACCTCCTTAACTAACAGGTGGATCAACAGTAAAATGTAATCAAAATACCAAAAGGTTAAAGATAGATAGCAACCAGGCAAAAAGAAAATTCAAAATAATGGCTGAAATTCTGTCCATTGAACTATGCTGTGTTAAGGATGATAATATTACCAGCCACAGTGATTTTTCAGAAACAAAACATTTCTGACTCCACTCTCCATAGGTCCGTGGGCTCCCACAGTATTGTGGAGAACTTTTTCGGAGTTGCCAGATTTGAGGAAGTCTTAAACCTCCTTCACAGATTGCTGCCTTGTTGTGGCTAAGGGGCTTAAGTAATTCAGAGAACCTATGGGCTATGCCGTGCAGGGACCCCCAAGATAGACAGGTCATAGCGCTGACTAAATGCGATCCCCCTGGAGAAGGAAGTGGCAAGCCACTCCAGTATTTTTGCCAAGAAAACCCCATGATCAGAAACAAAAGGCTAAAAGTGATGAAGCTGGAAGATGAGCCCCTCAGATCAGACGGAGTCCAACATGCTACTGAGGAAGACTGGAGGACAAGGACAAGTAGCTCCAGAGCTAATGAAGTGGTTGGGCCAAAGCCGAAAGGACGTGCATGGAAGTGGAAGGAAAGTCTGATGGTGCAATAAAAAATACTGCATAGGAATCTGGAATATAAGATCGGTGAACCTTGGGAAGCTGGATGTGGTCAAACAGCAGATGGCAAGAATAAACATTGACATCCTGGGCATCAGTCAACTAAAATGGATGGGAATGGGCAAATTCTATTCAGATGATTATCATACCTACTATTGTGGGCAAGAATCCTGTAGAAGAAATGGAGTAGCCCGGATAGTCAACAAAAAAGTGGGAAAAGATGTACTGGGATACAATCTCAAAAATGATAGAATGATCTCAATATGAATCCAAAGCAGACCTTTCAACATCACAGTAATCCAAGTTTATGCACCAACCACTGATGCTGAAGAGGCTGAAATTGACCAATTCTATGAAGACTTACAACATCTTCTAGAACTGACACCAAAGAAGGATGTTCTTCTCATTATAGTGGATTGGAATGCTAAAATAGGGAGTCGAGAGATAAAAGGAATAACAGGTAAGTTTGGCCTTGGAGTTCAAGATGAAGCAGGGCAAATGCTAATAGAGTTTTGTCAAGAGAACAAACTGGTCATCACAATCTTTTCCAACAATACAAGACGCGATTCTACATATGGACATCACCAGATGGGCAATACCGAAACCAGATTGATTATATTCTCTGCA